GTGAAATGTCAACCAGTCTGAAACATGTGGGTGTACTATACCATTCATATCTCTCTTGTGTTGAATATTTGTGGCCAATTGACCGTGCATCCCTCTCTTTTCCACCCCAAAAAAAAATCATTGTTGCTCATCCTCCCAAAAAGTTGGGTAATATCCCAGATCGATCTACAGCTTAGAACGCACAAGGAATTTGTGGACACATGCTAGTGTGGAAATCCTAAAAAGGAACGTGCGTTCCCATTTCAATTTTGTGCAGTTGTGCCATCCGGAAATGACTATAGGTGGACTGGACTATAAATCTGGAACATGCTTAACTGTGAGCGTGCTCTAAACATACAATACGAAATGGGACGGAAGGAACCGACGCTGTAATCCTCTTGACGATGCTCTGAAAAAATCGGCCTGGATATGGTGTATTGGTATCGGATTTGTTTTCCACAGCACATCAGCACGCTGTGCTTGACCTGGGAGAAGGGAAAAAAAAACGCATTTCCATCTTCTAAAAAAAGAAGAAAAAAGAGTGCATTTGCGTACTGCTTGCGGCGCCTTGGATTGCCTACCTGGGGTCACAGTTTTCCGTTGTTATGCCTGCCATGAACATTTTTAAGCCATCCACATGACATTATTGGCATAGACATCTAGAAATCTAGAATGGATATATGAGTGTTATCTTTTGGGAGAGAATGGATGTATGATTGCATATGTATGCCCCTTTGAATGATAGGAATGGAAAAACAAAGGAAAAAACATATGATTTTGATAGAAATACAAATGTAAAACAGAGAATTACAAAACATAGAAAAAAACATAGGAATAACTGTTTAATTGAACTAAAAAATGTAGGAATCAGATGAGAGAGATAGTATCGGAGGAAATTTTCCAAGAAGTTGAAACTCTTACTAAGTTTTCTTCAAAATCTCTATGGGATTATCAGTTCCATAGAAATTTTTGAAGGATAAAATATTATTTAATCTTTTATTTTAAAGGTTTTCATAGGAAAATTTTCGATAAGATTGAAATCCTCTAAAATTTCTATATTTTTCTTATAAATTAAAGTGGTGCTCAATCATTTGGTTGCTTTCCCTAATGACGTACTGATACTTCATCTAGGGGTGTACGACAGATGTAGTGGAAGATGGATGACGAAACCCAAAACCACGAACGCAGTGGTAACCAGCCGTTGGGCATTCTGTTTCCATTTACCACTACCAAAGTATCATCAAGTGCCAGTTTAATACTCCTAACATCGACGCCGGAGCGTCATACATGCATGAGATCATGTCATATTGTCATTCTTAAGCGTGTCGGTGTGTGCATGCACCGTGCCGTAATGTAACTCCAGAGTTGACATTCTACTCACACGGTCACACCGTGGACGCCCTCCGGAACAAGAGCTTGCAAACAACCGGTGGTCAATCAACGGGCGACACGCTGTTACTCTGCTAGTACCGGAGCCATCACGGTGATGCCGCCGCCATCACCAGAAAATTGGCGGGTCACAACTCACGACCACGAAGGCAGGCGAAAAGCGCCAGCATATCCGCATTTGTGCCGCCGAGGTAAGATCGCATCATGCCATGCGGATGTAAAGCAAGATGGATGATGGTGATACTCACTCAAAACCGCGGACATGTGCGATGACGCAGTGGTAAGTGGTAACCAGCGGCAGTTTCTGCGAATGCCTGAATTCTGTTACTGTCTGTTCGTTGCCACTTGCCAGTTCATTATCTTCCATCAGAATATTATATATACTGACATACTGTACATTGTAGAGTGATATGTGACAATGTGCGGGGCACGCGCCGATTTGGATAATGAGGAGCTTCGGAGATTTGTCGATTCTCCACGCTGTGGACACGCCCTAAGAAAAGATTCTGGAAACAAACAGAGAACAGCCAATGGGCAATTTACCATCAACAGAGTAGAACTCTGCATCTGGAGCCATCATCAGCCCATCAGACTTGCGTGCGCGGTGACGCCGGTGCCAGTCACGTCACGTAGACGACAAGGCGGCGGCAGGTGAGGTGAGCGCCACGAGGGCTGAGGGCAGTTGCTCCGCAGTCCATGCTGCATCCGGCGGCCGTCCCACGCCTCCAAATTCGCTTTCGTTTTTAGGCCGCGGCCGCGCCGACGAGCGAGCGAGCGAGTGGCAGCATGCGATGCTGCCTACTCATGGGACCCCCACGGCGGCGGCGGCGCGCGTGGCCGCCGTCCGTGCCGGGATTTCTCGAAGATTCGCCGGGACCGGTCGGTGGAACGTGGTGGAATCCCTCATCCCGCGGTCGCGGCCCTTCGTTTTCCGCTCGTCGCGAGTCGAGAAGCGCATGGGTGCGCAGGGTTAGGAGGGGGCCCGCTTGGTTTGTTTTCCCCTTCGGACGCTGCAGCCTATGGGCCGCGCTAAACGGCGCTAATTTGTCAGCCGCTTTCTGTGAGGAATAAGTTTACTTTGGGTCCCTCAAGCTGTCGACCAGTCTGATTTTCGTCTTTAGTCCAGAAAACCGGATGCGACACGTCCCCGAACTTACAAAACCATGCAAATGAGATCCCTAGGCAGTATTGACCCCGGTTTTCGCTGACATGACGCCTACATGGATCCTTTGACTAGGTCTTTGTCCCACATGGCATCGACGTGATGCTTAAGTAGCAATTCTATTCCGAAAAATAATGAAAACCATATGATCCGCGTGTCAGTTAAACAACAAAATAATAAAAAATGGTGGGCCCATGCGACCCCACATGTCATCCTTACTCCCATCTTCTCTCTATCCTCTCTCGCTCCCACCTGGGCGGAGCAAGGCGAAGCAGGCGATGGGTGGGCGTGGAGTGGGGTTGGTGGCATCCGGAGTAGGTCGGCCAAGGGAGACGGTGGATGTACTACACCCGAGCTCAAGGAGGAGCAGGGCGAGGCCGGCGTCCATCCCCATGCAGTTTGCCAGGTCAGAGCCAGAGATGGAGACGAAGATGAAGGGGGGAAGATTGAGAGGGAGGTGGCAGCGAGGGGGTTCCTGGCGACGAGGATGGTGTGGGAGGTGCGCGTGGTGGAGGCGGAGGCGGAGAAGGTGGCGAGGAAGGTGGAGGCCGAGGCGAAGGCGCTGAGGCGGAACGTGAGGAGGAGGATCATGTCGTCAGCGAGGTTCTCATGCGGCTGCTGCTCTGGCTCAACGCGGTCTACGGCGCAATGGAGTCCTCGCGCTGCAGGACACCATCGATGCCCTTGAGCACATGTTGGTGGCACCCGTGGTTGCCAACGACGCCGGCAAGCCGTCGACATGGAGTAGCGGCGACTGGAGCATGCCGGCATAGGCAAGGGGTTCAGCTTCATAACCTCCGCCGGTGACGTCGAACCCCCTGGTGGCATCGAACCACTTCACCATCCCCTTCACCCTCTTTGGCGGTCGGCGGGGGAGAGGAGAGGAACATGCGTAGCGATCAGCGGGAGAGAGAGAGGAGAGGAGCGTGCGTGGTGTGGTGGTCAGCAGCAGAGAGGACAGGAGCGTACGCGGTGCATCGATCGACGAGAGAGAGGAGAGGAATGTGGGCAGCAACGGGAGAGAGAGCGTCGCGTGACGTCCAGTGGGAGAGAGGAGAAGAGCGTGGGCAATGCAGCAGCGGGGGAGAGAGCGCCGTGAAGCTCACCGATCTCCCCGCCTCTCCCTCTTTGAGAAGTAGATAAGGTAGATGTGGGGTCAAGTACTTTAAATTTATTTTGTTTGACTGACATGTGGGTTCCTCATATTTTGTTTATTTCTTTAACTTTTCAATTTTGCTCTTTTTTTTTTCGATCAAACTGCCACGTAAGTGTTATGTCAATGCCACGTGGGACAAAGACCAAGTCAAATGAGCCACATAGGCGCCACGTCATCCAAAACCGGTGACAATACTGCCGAGGGATCTTATTTGCACCGGTTTTATAAGTTGGAGGATGGGTTGTATCTGGTTTTTGGGGGTTCAAGGACGAATGTCAGACTAGGCGACAACTTGAGGGAGCTAGAATGAACTTATTCCTTTCTGTGAAGGCGACGGATCCAACACGGCCTGGTAGTATCTGTATATGGGCCGCAGCGTGCAAAGATTGGGTAGCCTGGAATCCTATGGGCCTCCTCCCTCTGGGCTTCAATTAACAGGACATTTTAGTGTCGCGGTGCGATCGGATCGAGATCATCTCGGTGTCATCCACCAGAATTTCGGGTTCCCAACACCGATTGAATTGCAGTTTTGTTTCGGGACATAATAATCGTTAAATGGAGCATCCGCGAGGTGAGTGGAATACGCCTTCCCAATTTTCAGGGGTCAATCGAACACTCTGCAGAGCTGAAAAGATGGCTCAGCCGAAAAAGGAAAATTAAAGGTCCGGCAGTGTAGACACAAAGACTCACACCTGCTGCCGTTCGAGCTTTGAGAAAAAGAACTGAATTGGGGCCAAAAAAAGCATCTGCTGGGCTTTGCGAGATAGCTAAACAAAGTTAATTACCATGTGGACCTACTAACCAAATTTCATTAGCAAGCAGCTGTTCTGTCGCTTCCGTTTCAACAAGGAATTATTGGCAGAAGAAACGATCGATACGATGCCTTTCACCCTGGGTTATGCGTATCCTTATCTGAATATTTGTTTACGTTTCGGCATCTACCAGACGTGTCCTCGACGCAGCATCCAGCAATCCTAACACCTCGCAGACATTCGCCGCGGTTCGTTGGGCAAAGCAGCGGTCTCCGGCTGTTAAGGAATAAAGCGCTCGTTAGAACTGTGCTGAAGTGAACTGAACTGAAAGGATACACATGTCTCTGCATGAAAGAAAAGGCTGTACTTTTCCAGCTAGCCGTCATCTTAACCTCCAGACGAACAGAATCTCTGAAAACTCTAGATGGTCTGAAACCAAACCCCCGGACCCCAGCCGGGTACGTATGTTTTCTTCTTTCTTTCATGCCTTAAGCATCACGTTTGTCACAAAAACTTAACGTAATTCGGCTGTCCATATGCATCCCATGGAAGCAAGGAACAAAACCAGCTATGTCCCGTCAGTAAAATAGTTCATATTATTTCGCGTTCTCTATCGATCGCGTGTATATATATAAGGCCCGGATGCTAACGCCGAATCGGTGCGCCTCCTGAATCAAGTAGAAATAGTACTACTACGCAAGTAACGTAGATCAGCACGTAGATAGCTTGCGAAGACGTTCTGAAAGAGTGCAGAGAGTTTTTGCTAGCTCTCGGTGGTGATATCCATGGCTAACGCGGGGCTGAAGCCGGTGGCCGGCCTTCTCCTGGTTCTCAACTTCTGCATGTACGTCATCGTGGCGGCGGTCGGCGGCTGGGCCATCAACCACGCCATCCACACCGGCTACTTCATCGGTAAAACTAGCTCACATTTTGATTTACCGTGTCGATCTCGATGGTGTCTTGTTATCGGGCACAACGAACCAAAACTTGCTCTAAATTGAGATTGGTGCCTAATTATGTTTGTCAATAGAAAGTGCATATATTTTGAAGCTAGATTTGTGACTGTTTGAGCGTATGTACTGCATGTACGTGTAGGTTCCGGGATGGCGCTGCCGGCGAACTTCTCCCCGATCTACTTCCCGATGGGGAACGCGGCGACCGGGTTCTTCGTCATCTTCGCGGTGATCGCCGGAGTCGTCGGCGCCGCGGCGGCGCTCGCTGGGTTCCACCACGTCCGCGCGTGGAGCCACGAGAGCTTGCCGGCGGCGGCCTCCTCCGGGTTCATCGCATGGACGCTCACCCTGCTCGCCATGGGGTAAATTAACGCAACTAAATCTGACCCTGTCCCATGCATGCATACGGGTATACTAAATCAATTTCCTTGATTCATTTGTTACGTTTTCAGATTGGCCGTCAAGGAGATTGACCTGCACGGCAGGAACGCCAGATTGGTAAGATCGAACAACATCAAACACAGTTTTTTTTTTTAGTTCGTCGTGACAACCGAAGACACGCTATTAACTGTGTGCATGCTGCTCTGGTCTTGATTTTTGCAGAAAACCATGGAGTCCTTCACCATCATACTCTCGGCAACACAGCTGTTTTATCTGCTCGCCATTCACGGCGGGAGGTAGAAGAAGGTCAGGTTTTTCTGATTAAAGTTGTGAAGGTGAAGACACCTTTGTGAGCATTATTGGGCATAGATCATGGACTTTACGAGCCTAATTTGATTTCACCGGTTTGTGAGATTAAGTTCGACATGGATCAACCAGATCGAGGCGCTGTTTGTGCTTGTCTACGAATACGTGTGTGTGTGTGTGTGTGTGTTTTATGCAGTGTGTGACTAGCACTTCTTAGTAATTCGTGTGCCGAATACTCGAACTCCTGTGTGATTTGTTGATTATTTGGATGCGTTGATTTATACTGTATTGATTTCGCCGTGTCTGGTTAATCGATTTGATTATGTGGACGTGATGGTTTACCTGTTTGAAATTCAGTCCGAATGGCTATCTCCGCACGACAATCGTTTATCCCGTGAATAATAGGGGACTGCTATATGACGGGATACCGTTTGGACGGTATACCCCTGTAATTCATCCCGTGGAAAGACGTGCGTGCTGCTTCGTACGATGGTGAGCACACCACGTTCATGTACTCCTCCCAAGGTATATTTTACTTGCCTAGTGATCTGTATTATTTTTGTATTATTTTTTTGGATTATTATTGTATTATTTTTTTATTGGGCCATGCTCTGTTACGTATTTATGGGCACTATTGGTTGGGTTTTTTATATATGCATGTACCAATGATGATACTTATAGGTACCGAGAATGGTATCTGTGAGATATCAATATATTGATGATAGGTATCCAAATGATACCTGTCATGTATCGTGATGATACCTAGGAGGTATCAATGAGTGATAACACTTATAGGTGCCGAGTATGATACTTGTGAGGTATCTGTATGTTGACGATAGGAACCAAATGATACCTTCCATATATCGTGATGATACCTATGAGGTATCAGAGAGTGATGATACTTATAGGTACCAAGAACATTACACATGAGGTATCATAGATATCCAAATGATACCTACCATGTATCATGATGATACCTACGAGGTATCAATGAGTGATGATACTTATAGGTGTCGAGGATGATACATGTGAGGTATCTGTATATTGACGATAGGAACCCAAATGATACATGGTATGTATCGTGATGATACCTAAGATGTATCAGTGAGTAATGATACTTGTAAATACCAGGGATGATACCTTTCAGATAGCAATGTATCGAAGATTTGTTTTTATGTACCCAAATGGTACCTGACAGGTATCGTGATGATACCTATGAGGTATCAATGATTGATGATGATTGTAGGTATCAGTGATTAAAAATACTTGGAAGTAAAATTTCAAAGTTACACTAAACGAAACAATTGAGATATTAAGCAAATTTAACTAAAAAGGATTAAAAGAAAAAATGACGAAAAAATGCATAGGTGGGGCCAACATTGAGTAGGCAGTGCCATCTGACAGTCGTGGACCTCGTGGTAAAGCGAATAAAAGTCATGCATGCGCGTGTGCGTCGTACTTGTTGAGAGGGATGGTGCGAGGAGGATGATCCCGTTCCGATCGCTACCAACGGAATACCGGTACCTAGCATTTCCGATAATGTATTCCTAAACTTTTAAAATTAAACACAAATGAGATCCTAAAACAGTTTGGATGATGGTTTTAACTAACGTGACATCCACATGGTTGGTTTAACTTGATCCTCGTCTCGCGTTATGTATCGTGGTCATGGCCATTAGCCGATGGCAATGTTGTCTTCTTGCCTTGCTTTCTTCTGCTTGGTTAGTTGGTCTTAAACAATTTAGCATCATTGCTTTGTGAGATCAAAGCTTAAGTCAAACCAATCATGTAGACGTTACATCAGTAGAAATCATTATCCAAAATGTCTTGGGACCTTGTATAAACTGATTTTAAAAGTTAAGAGATCAGTTATATCTGGCATTACGGTTTAAGGTTTAAGGATGTGATTTAAACTCAACTCAACCTAAAATAAATGTATTCCTTTATCCAGCCCAAGACTTAAAAGTAGTATCCACATATATATATGGGCCCTATTAGGGGTAAGTCTAAATGGGCTTGGCTCAACTACATAAGCGAGTTCAACCAAAAGAATTTTTAGGACGACCTTATGCCCTGTGAACAAACAAGTATACTACTCTCTATCTATTTTTAAATTATAAACAGCTACAAATCCTGTAATTTGGATTAATATTCGTTCTTCTCTGGATTGAACTGCTTCCATCATGTTTATTATTCATGTTACTAAGATATCAAAAACATGTGATGGATCTAAATCATACACATTATTTTAGATAAAGATCTAATCTAATTGTACGGTTAGTACTTACCAAATTCATATAGATGCGGTCAAGTTACATGTTCGTTTTATTATAATGTTTGACTCCATATAATAAAAATGTATTTCAGGTTCTACGAATTCTTTTTTACCTTATCACTGTTATTGATAGTTCAAGCTTTCAATGTCTATATATAACATGCAATTTAACTACACCCTCCGTTTTCCTCATTTTTAAATATATGGTGAGGTTGATTTTTTTATACGTCCATGCTAAAATATTATTTGCTTAAATTATATTTATTGACAAAAGAAATCATAAATAAAAAAATATTTATTTATATAGTTTTTCTAATAAGACAAATAACCGAACGTTGTGTTCAAAAGTTAAGCAACACATATATTCTTAAGCATCACAAAAATAGAGGTAGTATTATTTCTACAACTTCATATATGTCCATAATAATTTTATAATAGTATTAGACATTTTTTTTAAAAAATATTGTAATAACATGTGTGTACACGATATGATATCAAATAATGGTTCAGGCCCCTCGCATGATAATAGCACTAATCCAGTTTATATTTGATTGATATGAAAAACCTCAGATTAAATAGAGAACAATCAATCCCGAGATTACCGGCGAGACCCTTGTCAAGATGGTTTCGACGAGATCTCCTGGCGAGTAGGCTTCACGTCCTCCAAATTGTAGGCTATGTTGGCGGTGTTGACGCTATGATTTGATACCTTGGACCCCTCAGGGGGTGTGTATTTATACTGTTTATTACCTTAATCTCCAAGAAGAAATCGGAAACACCAAATCCAGCACGATATAGTACAATCCCGATTCTCTCCGAGTAGTACTCTATTATTCGCTTCCCCGTGAGAATTATTTCCATAATCTCTGTCGATTTTCTTATCATATATAGAGACGTGTCATACATATGAAGGTATGCCTTATTCATAATCATGACAACATCTTTTATATAGCCAATCCGCATGTATATATTCTTAAACGAGATACATTCAGAGAATACTAAAGTGTTAGTCAAACAATAAAAAGAAAAACGAATATGCTACTAGCACCCTTTCAGTCGGCAATACTCCATTTGTAGAGAGAAGACCAATGCACATTAATTAATTATTTAATTTGTGAAACTGGTAGTATCGTGCCACGTTCTGAGCAATTAAGGATCCCATAACGCCAGACATTAAGTCGGCCAACCCTTCTCATGCAATGAAGGTTTTGAAGCATGGAGTAGTTATCATACTTGTCATATCATATAGATGTTATATATAAAAATTATATATCTAACAGATGATGTTTTTAAATTAAATTCTCATCTATTCATGAATCATCTTTTTTCTCTCTCTTTTTTATCCACATATCCCCTTGTTTCATTCTCGATTATTGTGTAGAGATGGTTTATGGCATGAGAAATGATTTATCCATCTTTTTACTTCTTTTCTCGTTAGCTTTCTTGTCGTATCAGGTTTTTACTCGTGTGACAATGTATTTAATGCTATGAACACTATATACGAGTTGGAAATGACCTAAACCTATCTCACATCTCAACTCTCAGCCTTTACCAACTTTTTCTTAGAAAAAGTGTTCCTAGTACGTAATTTTAAACACAACCCAACCAATAAACAGACACTTAAGTCCGTGTGGAGACATTGGGGATGTTTACTTTGAGGCCTAAATCAACCTTATTAAATTTTAAATTTGCTACAGGACATCTAAAATTTGTGTAATTTGCCGATAGACATCGTGAAAACGTGTTATGGCTGAAAGACAGTAAAAAAAAAGGTAATTTGCTGGAGGACACTTCCGGCTCAATCGGAGAGAAATTTTTTTCAAAAAGACAAGAATGACCCTAGGGTCAAAAGCTTTTTGAGCCGAGACTAAAGTGAAAATAAAATAATGGTGTATGCTAGTGATGTACTTTGGGCTATGGCAAATTTAGAGTTACATAATTTCCAAATTTTTACTCTAACACCATGTTTGAAGCATGTGGCTAGAGGGGCATTCTCGTCTTTTTTAGGAATCCATCTCTTCAATTGAGCCGAAAGTGTCCTCTAGCAAATTACCAGTTTTTTAGAATGTCTTTCAGCCATGACACGTTTTTTCGATGTATATCAGCAAATTACACAAATTTTGGGTGTCCTATAGCAAAATTTACCATTTTAGAAATTCTAAATTTTGACATTATTAATATTTTTTGACACGACATTATTAATATTTGATTGAATTGAGATGTGTAGATTGTATTTGGTTTGTTACCTTTACTAAGTTTTTCTTTTTTTAAAATAGATTCTATAGTTGCCAAATTTTGATAGTGTAGATGGTCAAAAATTTGGTAGGTTCATTTTGGCAACAGAGTGAAAAACCCTATTTTTTGCTACTAGTAATACTGGAGAAGTAATTTAGGCCCGATTTATAGGAAAGCCCATAGGTAATTTAGGGCGTGTTGAGAGAAAAGGAAATAAAAATATTGAGAAGATATATAAAACAAGATGAGACATTAATATATTATTAATTAATTTTTAATTATTAAACTTTAAAATGGATTAATATGATTTTTAAAGTAACTTTTCTAAGATTTTTTTGAAAAAAAAACACCGCATAGCAATTTGAGAAGGGGACACGTAAAAAATGACACAAATCTTCTCCTTTTCATAAAAGGCGAACGTTGCCTTAGAGAACAATTCGATAGTATTACAAAAATTTCTATGAAAGCACTTGAAATAACTTGATGGGTATCTTGATCTTTCAACATGAAAACTGGAGGAGAGTCATGCAACGCTGTTACCATCTCACTTTTGGAGAAATCATCTTTTGTGGGTTGGACCAATAATAGTCCCGGTCCAACAAAAAAACAGGGACTAAAAACCATTTGTAGTCCCGGTTTAAAAGTGCAACGAGATTATATGATCTTTAGTCCTGGTTATATTTATGTCAGACGTTGTCAGGACGCCTGGGATCTTTAGTCCTGGTTGATATCACCAATCGGGACTAAATATCTCTCTCACATCCTACCTCGGGATGCTTTCCCACGTCCTTATCTCTCTCGAGACCGAGAGACCCACGTCTTTATCTCTCGATCTCTATATGTTCGCTAGTTCTCCCTCGATCCTCTTTCTCTTCACTCACTCACTCTCTCTCTCTCTCTAGCAAAGGCTGGCCAAGAGAAGTGGTAGCTGGGCGGGGTCGGTGGTGGCTGGGCGGGAGAAGCGGCGGCGGCTGAGCGGGAGAAGAAGCATCGGCCGGGCAGGGGAGGTGGCGGCCTCGCCCTCCCCTTCGCCAGATCCGGCAGGAGGGAGGCGGCGGCGGCCGGGCGGGGGCGGCGGCAGTGAAGTGACAGCGACTCGACCAGAGGAGAATTTGTTTTTTTTAGGATTTGTGGTGAATTTGTTTTTGAGAATTTGTGATGCTTTTTTTGAATTTGCGATGATTTTTTAAAAATTTATGATGTATTTGATCTATGATTTGGGGATGTAGTGAAATCAATATGCAAGCAGTTAAAAACAATGAAAAAAAGAAAAAAAAACTTTAGTTCAGGTTGCTAACACCAACCGAGACTAAAAATTTGTGGTCCCGATTATATAACTGGGACTACAGGGGTTACGAACCGTGATTGAAGATACTTTCTCCAGTAGTGCTAGTGCCTATTGCCATACGTGATCAACGTGATTAATTCACGATTATTCCTCAAACTAAACATGCAATGATCAGAAGCACCAATAGTTTCCATCTTTTGTGGATCTCCCTCGATCTTCCATAGCGCAAAATTAAAAAGAGAGTCCGGCCGTGAAACGGGACACTGTTTTTATGATGTTCATTCCAATGTTCCAACCTTGATAAATAAGACGCTGGAGGGAGAACGTGTGGCACTTCTAGAGCAGTGCAGGTGACGATCAGAAGGACACCGCTACCCCGCTGACTGCCGACAATCTATCTAGACTCAAGCTAGCGATGCCAATTGTTCTTCTACACAGACAATATGAGAGGTGGTTCAAGGTGCGTCTGCAACCTCTACTTCCACTTTGATTTAGGAGGCTACATCAACATCCATGGCTTCGAGGAAACGGTTAGTCGTCCATAATTTCATATTAGCATATTCATGGTTTTAAGTTAAACAGTTAAAAGAGTAGATTAGATAATCTACACTACTTCCTCCGTTTCACAATATAAGTTATTCTACTATTTTCCACATTAAGTTATTCTAGTATTTTCCACATTCATATTGATGTTAATGAATCTAGATGCGGAGGAAGTACTAATTTTTTTTTTTGAAATTACTATAGAATAAACATTCATATAGAGATTTTTGAAGGAAAGTTAGTAATAGCTTCAACCTCTTGGAAAGTTTTTTTTTCTATCTCTCTCATCTGATTTGTGTGTTTTTCCTGTTGGTGTATTCAAATAACAACTTCTACATTTTCCTTCTATTTTAATTTGCACCCATGTATTTTTCACTTACATTGAAATCAAAATTATGTTTTATTATATTTTTATATTTGTTTAATCCTACGTTTCGAACAAACCTTAGTTCTTGCCGAGCTAAAAGCAAATCAACTATAGACGAGTAAATGCATCTTGTGCACCATCATCAAAATGTTTCTTAATGATGAAAATGCAACAGTGGATACATCATCGCTTAAAAGCAGCGACAAATGAAAAGGAACAGCATCATCACAAATTCCATGAGAACAAGTTTCTCTTCTCATTTCTCTGCTGCCTGGTACTTCTCGAAGTGTGTGTCAATCTATGAAGGCTATAGTATGACTACTTGTCTTGATCATGGCCGTGATGCTTATGCTAGGCTGCTTTATTAGTTCTTGCTTTAGAGCAGGTAAAATAGCATGCTATTAGCCAGCTGTAAACATATTTTAATGAGATAAAAGATGAGAGAGAAAAGCAGCGGGCTACAGATCTCCAAGATATAATGTGTGTATGATAAGTGGGACCATATATTAATAGTATAGTAAGCAACTATTGTATGAATTAGCTATTAGATTAGCTATAGATGAATTGGAGCTAGTAGTGAGCTATACTATTAAACTTAAACCTGCTCTTATGATAAAGTGACCTTGACAGAAAATATAGCTAATTATTTGTCGCGAACAAATGGCCTAATTAACAATGGTAATGGAATGTTTGATTTTGCTACCTTCCGTTGCTAGGAATTCCTTTATGTCATTTTCGTTATTATTGTTTACTGTAGGTCCGATCTGATCCATTCTCTGTGATGATACGTGCAACATGGAACGTAGACGGATGAGCAGAAGCTGCACGCTACTACACCATTTCCCTATCCTTTTCAAACTTCAAGGACATCTTGAATCTTCTTATTCTTCTTCCCTCCCTCCCTCCCCTCTCTCTCTCTCTCTCTCTCTCTCTCTCTCTCTCTCTCTCTCTCTCTTCTCTTCTTTTTGCACAACCCATTGTTAATTTGAAATTGAATACTGTAATACTCAATTTGTTTTGGAAATTAATTTGTACTACCGTACCGAACGCATACTGACGTGCATTGCATATACCATATGGTACTAGGAACAAGTTTAGTACTACCTGAATACTAGAGCATATATACTAAAATACTCGTGTAGATCACCAGATCTTGAATCGGTGCTGAACAGAATCGATATTTTTAAAAGAGAACTATCAACGGAATCTTGTACTCAGATATTTTTAAAAGATAACATACTGTAAAATAATGCCAGATTCAAATACTCAGATCTTTTTGATCGGCAAGTTGGTTTTTGTCCAGTTTCGCTGAGACTATCAAGTTGAACATGCTCAAACAGTTGATGACAAAAGCATCGAGTCATCATGCTATGACTACTTCTTGGCGCTTCAAGGGTTCAAAAGTGGTTTTCAGAACACATTCGACAGACAAAGCAAATTCACTTCAAATTTGAACGAAGCAAAGGAGAAACAATGGTGGTGGCATCAATACTTAACGGTGCTCCTCTGATCTCTTCGTTTGATTGGACACCCAGTCCTGCCAAGATGACACCTTCATGCTACTACGGGCTGACAGCTGAGTCTCTGGATCCAGTTTACCCCATGGATGACACACATCACTGAGAAGTGAGAAGTCTCATATGCCTGGGCCACGTTGAAACAGACGTTCGTATTATCTGAGCCATCCATCTGTCGGCATGTGTGCAAATTGGTGTTTTCCGTAGCGCTCTGAATTGTGTGGCTCTCTTTGAAACAGCCAGCATCTAAACACAATAATACGAGTAGCACAAGGCACCGGATCTTCTGCACGGAAGAACTGTTTTGCCTCGTCCCAAGTTGAAATGTCATCGTCCCTGTCATTCGAGTATTAATCGACTGTCAATGTAGGCGTTAGCTTACGTTGCAGTTGGTTGCAGCGACCATTATGTTGAAATAAACGTGTTTATGATAAAGTAATAAGGGTTCAGAACACATTTAAGCAATTTTCTTTCACTTTTTTGGCCCTGAACAATTCAATAGCCAATAGTAGAGCTCTGCTGTGGTTGTGCAGCCGCAGCCAGCGCTGAGCTGAGCAGCACCTAAATTTATATAAACAGCAGATAAATCCACACCTACTCCATTCAAACAAAGTACTAAAGTACAGGTAGTATAGTACAATGTTGTGAGTACAAGAGGCGAAGTCCGGTGAGGTGCCACCGTGCCACATGCAGGCGTGGTAACCTGGTGTCCACTCTGCATCCCCGCAAAATGGAAAATTCAAACACAACTCGACGAAATGCTATCCAGACCGTAGATGTCCCTTTGTTTCAATGCTTGCTGCTTTCTTTCTTTCTTAGGGGCTGTTTAGTTCGCGAAAAGTAAATTTTTAAGTATCACATTGAATGTTTGACCGGATATTGGAAGAAGTTTTTGGATTCGAATGAAAAACTAATTTCATAACTCGTCTGGAAACCGCGAGATAAATCTTTTGAGCCTAATTAAACCATCAATAGCACACGGGGTTACTGTAACACTTATAGCTAATCATGGACTAATTATGCTCAAAAGATTCATCTCGCGATTTGCAATTAGTTTTTATTTATATCTATATTTAATGCTCCATGCATATGTCCAAAGTTTTGATGTGACGTTTTTGGGAAAAAATTTCGGGAACTAAACCAGGTCTTAGGCCTTGTTAGTTGGCAAAAGTTTTTGCCCTAGCGTGTCACATCGGATATACGAACACACATTTAAAGTATTAAACGTAGTCTAATAACAAAACAAAATACAAATTCCGCTAGAAAACTACGAGATGAATTTTAAGCCAAATTAATCCATCATTAGCAAATATTTATTGTAGCACCATATTATCAAATCATGGCGTAATTAGGCTTAAAAGATTCATCTCGTAATTTACACGTAAACTGTGTAATTAGTTTTTTTATCTATATTTGATACTACATGCATATGTCCAAACATTCGATGTTTTTCTTGTGGGAACTAAACAACCCCTTAGTTCAAGGGCGATGTTACGAACTCCATCAGTCCCAAAATAAAAAAACTCAGGATCTGTTTGGCTAGTGACTGTAGTTTAGCACAACAAACTTTAGACGTGGCACAATTTCTTAGGTTAGTATTTGGTTGAGTGCCACAAGTTAAGTTAAACCATACTTTATTAGCATATTGGTCCACATGTCATACTCTCATTTTCTAGGCAGAGTTTACCATAGTTGTGACTAACAAACTGTTGGTCACACTTTGTGTGCTTGTCATAGTTATGACAAATGGAGTTGTGGTAAAGTTAGTCTCCATCTAAACATCCCCTTAATCTAGAAGAGGATGTGATTTGTTCTAGCACAACGAATTTGGACGATATGGTTGTTACATCCCCACCTAGGTTTTGTTTTATTATGGAGGAAGTATAGTATTGTGAGAGTTTACTCTGGTGTATATTTCTTTCCAATCACGTACTACTAACCCTTGGTATGTTGATTTCGTTTGTTTCATAGGGATTCCTGGCGTGAATTGTTTATTAACCAAGAATCGAACTATGGCTGTGTTATTTTCCCTTCTTTTTCAACTCATATCTCTTTTTTTCCGCATGCACACTTTTTAAATTACTGAGCGTGCGTTTTTTATAAAAGCTTTCTATAGAAAAGTTTATATTAATTTATTTTTCAATGTTTAATACTTAATTAATTATGCGTTAATGTGTAATACCATTTCCCGTGAGGTTAGGTGGAGTTTTCAACTCCACCTCCCGAACTCAGCCTGTATAACGGTTGAATCCAACTATCATGAATGGTTCCCCAAATAAACATCAAATTTGATCCCCTGCATTCCTTTCAATGGTACAATTTATGCTTGCGGTGCTATGATGCGCGTTGCTTATTTTTTAAGTTTCTGTAAAACCAAAACTATAACTGTTGTTCTTTGTTTTACTGATCAAATTATGATTATATATAAAATATGTTATTGAACTTTTGATTATTTACTCGATTACTTTATACTTCTAAACTCCAACAATATTATCATTTACAATATATGTTAAAATAAAACCAATTTGCCAATGCTAAAATGCGTAAGGGCACCAATGTATATGGTAAAGTGATCCATATAGATGGAACCCACATAAATAGTTTTTACCCATAGCAATCTCCATAATGTATATAGATACAATATATCATATGTATATATATACAATATATTATTAGGAGAAGAGAGAGGAGTAGAGATAGATAATATAATTTATTTTATATGGGTAGACCATATGTATACGGGTATCTTTTATTATTTTTTCTATATGGATTAGTTGCACAATGATAATAGGTGGCTGAATGAAATATTCTATTGCTTATGAACTACTTTTACACCACCTAAAAGATGTTAGATGTTGGTGGACTCAGTGTGATTATGAGAATCCACCACAATGCCAAACAACCTATATGTTGTATTACTCTCCGAAACATAGATGAAGGTGCTAACCAATTCTTCTCATTTGACATCTTTACTTACGTACAAGAGCGAAGGTGGGAATATCTCAATCATAGGGCTCAACCATGGAATATAATTTTTTTGGGAAAATTTTAACTGAAAATTAGTACTTTGCTAATGCAATTTTTTTGCGGTGTGTGGGGCTCGATCCTAAGCTGCCCCCACCTGGCTCCACCCATGCACTTGTAGAACGCTAGTCCATCTGCACTACTCGTTCAATTCCAATTCTAAAGGATTGTAACAAGGGGTTATATGGAGAACATCACGTAGGCACTAAAAAAACATTTATTTGAGAAAAAAAACTAAAATATTTTAGAGTTTAAATCCCTAGCACTTATATTCTGTTGGAGCTATAAGCATTCTAATTTTGTGATTTAGTTGGTTCTCAACCTATAGTTTTGTGATAGTTTTATCACTAAATTTATAGTTTTATGATACTCAGTCTTAAATATATAGTTTTATAATAAATTTGATGCTAAATCTGTAATGGATTATACAACACCTTAAATCTTCATTTTTTTATAATCTATTATATTATTAAGACAACTTTGAAAGAAGACACCACGCTCGCTGTGGAGGCTAGAAATTCCTACATTAATCGGAGAAAAAGAGAAAAAAAGCTACACCTTAGATTATAATAGATCCAGATTAAAGGGCATAGATTTATCATAAAATTATATTATTAAGACAGCTTTAAAAGAAAGCACTACGTTCACCGTGGAGGCTAGAAATTCCTACATTAATCGGAGAAAGAGAGAAAAAAGCTACACCATTAGATTGTAATAGATCCAGATTAAAGGGCATAGATTTATCAAGAAAAAAAAAACTATGACACAAACTATATCCAGTACGAATAGAAAATATACTATAAAACAAACTCTATCGGGTACATACGTACATAGAGTCAGAGTCCCAGTGTTTGGCCTAGGATGTCTCCGATTCAGAGTGAGCAAGAAAAGGGGAAAAAGCAGAGTCCAAAGCAAGTTCATCTACACTCCAAGTTCATGCAGACATATAGCTGCCACTATAAGACCACATGCGCCGATCCATCTTATGCAGTATATTTTATCAATTTGTCAACTAAAATATGCACAATAATTTTAGGCCCACATTAATCTCATGTGAAAAAATAACAATAGTAGTCAATAAAGAGGGATCAGTTTATTTGTATAATTTTATTATATGTGAAGACTAGAAATTCTCACATTAATCATAGAAAAAGAAATGGAGAGTTCAACTAGGAATGAGATTTAGAAATAAAAATAAGAAATATCGAAAACAGTATGTGTAGGAAACAAAACGATATTAATTAAAATTCAAAATAAAAAATAAAATAAGTTCCAATGTTAGAAAAAAATGAGAGTTCAAGTAAAAAAGATACAATTTAGAAATAATAATAAATCATAATAAAAAAAGAAACATTAAAACAACAATCTATCTAAAACACAACAATAGCTAATAACAATAAACAGAGGAAAGAGGGCGTCGGGCGAGGCGTAATGAAGTAGGGTGGTAGTGGTTGATGAGACATATAAAAACTATAAAATAAAATTCGAATGATGATTAAGAGAAGGGGCGGCGGGCAGACCGTGAAGCGTGAAGGCATAGGGTTGCGACAGTTGACATGATTTCTAGAAAGTAAAAAAAAAACAATAATGATCAGATTCGATTTTAAAAATCTCAATAAGAGTGTGCAGCCGGGGGGGGGGGGGGAGGGGGAAGGAGTACAGTGGCAGCATTTGACGGAATTTATAAAAATTATAAAGACGAATTCTATAGGACAATAAACTATAAAAACTAAGATCTGATTTTCAAAAGGTCTCAATGAGGATGAAAATGGAGTCATGGTAGGCCAAATAAAACGTGGCACAGAAGTAAGGGGGTGGAGACTTATCTGATTTTTAAAATCCTAAAACAACAAGATGACTGTTTTAATTTTTTAAAAGAAAACCATGTGTAAAAAAATTATATAATTCTGTAGGAAAGCTAGCCGCAAAATTATGCGGGCCATCCAGATAGTCTTATTAAAATATATGTAGTTTTGCAATAAAACAATAAAGAAGTAAAAACTTAGTACACATGAAGTAAAAGAAATATACTCCTCCTAGTTAAAAATATTTCACGTTGGCAGAACTTCATTTTTCTGATGTCAAATAAATTTGACTAGAGGAAGTATATTATAAGTTTTTTTACAACGTGTTTGTTAAAAATATGACGCTACACTTTTCACTTGATTTCAATCACTTTTTTCCTCCTATAATTGTTTTCTCTCCTATTTATATGTATGCTTCCATCTCTTCCATCCCCTCTTCCACGTGAAACTACTTTTAATCATAATTCTCTTATACATTGCGTATTAGAAAATTACATATAAATATTGAAACTTACCATACAAGTTTTAAAATTTATATAATAATTACAATGTAATTGTAGGTAAGTTATAGAGTGTTTTTTAAAAAAATGTGAAGCTATTAAATATAACTACACTATAATTTGTATTTATATTTTTATAAGAAACTGTCTATAATTGCACATTACATAAACTAAACTAAAAAAACGAAATTCAAAGATTGTGAAGATGTATTATAGTCTTATACAATCAAAATATAAAGATAAAAAACAAAAGAACTTAAAAAGTAAAACAAATCGTTTTTTAACGAAAAAAATCGATATAACGGGCTGCCTATGTGCTGTTAGTATATATCGATATTTTTTTTATCCTGAAAAAAACAACCAGGTTGATGCGTCATCGGTGTAAAAACCTAAAAAAAAGAGCCGATCCCCCTCCCTCCACATCGAATCAAATCCATCTCTTTTCTCCCCTTCCTTCCTTCCGCCTCGCCTCCCCTTCCCCTCCTCGCCGCCTCGCTCCCCTCCGCCGCGCCGTCCCGTCGAATCCCGCCATGCCGAAGGGTGCCAAGAAGCGCGCCAAGCTCAAGAAGAAGCAGCAGGGGGACCACCCCGCCGGCTCCGATGACGGCGGCAACAACAACAACAACAAAAACAACGCCGCCGAAAACGGCAGCAATGACTCCAGCCGCCGCCGCGACGCCGCCAGCGACGGCAACCACCACCTACCGTCGCGACCAAACGTTCCTCATGGTATGGATGGCATCTACCCTTCCCTCCCCGTCCCCCGCTTTAAGCCCGTGTAGATCTGTCTCCCCCCACGGCACGCCGCTTTCCGCACCAGCGGGGAGAGGAATCGCCTTTTCCCCCCACTCCCTCTTGCGGCGAGGGTGGCATTCCCGTGCTCTTCGCTGGCTCTCCGGCCACGTTCCCACCTCCTCTTTCGAGCTGTTCGCCTTTTCTTTCTCTTTTGATTGCTTCCTTTCTTCCGCTATATTACGATGGATGCGTGTGTGTTTCTGATGCTGTGGTGTGTGGGTGCAGTGGATGTGAGTGAGGACTCCATGGAGAGCTCCGAGGAGATGGTGACGCCGAGGGCCGCCGCGTCCGAGGCGGACGAGGAGGAGAGGAAGGCCGCCACGTCGGAGGTGCCCGTGGAGGTGGTCGAGGCCGGGGAGGAGGTCATGGTGGACGCCTTGCCGCCCGAAGCCGCCGCAGGTGCGCAGGAGCAACAGGGTAAGGCGGAGGCGCTTGTGGTGGTGCAGGAACCGGAGGTGAAGCGCGAGGAGTTGGTGGCCAAGGTGCATCCGATGCATGACCCGGAACCGCAGGGCGAGGAGGTGCTCATCGTGGAGGCGGCTGCGGTATCCGCGGTGCAAGAACCGGAGGTGAAGCGCGATGAGGTGGTGGTCATGGAGACGGCTGCGCCGCCTGCGGTGCAGGAATCGGAGACGAAGAGCGGTGGGGTGTTGGTCAAGGATGTGGTGGAGGTGTCACGGTCTCTGGGTGCAGCTGATACTACAGAGGTATTACTGTTCGCGATCGAGTGCTATGCCATCGGTCCCCATGTTTTGAAATCGAGAGGTCTCATTTGGTTCATTATTTTTTCCCTTATGATTGCAGGTGGCCCGGGGACCTGCAGTGGCTGTGGCTGCAGCAGGGCAGCGGGCAACATGGTGGAATTGCTGTGGGGTATTTGATGCGTTCTCTGGTTCGGAGAGATAGATTAAGGTCTGTATCGCTGTATCATGGTTTATCTTTTTTTTTTATGATGATGATGCTTTGTGGAAAGAATATATCATTACCATTACTGTTAGATGTCATTGGGGAGGCTTAAAATAACAGATATTTTACTAAATTGTTTGTTTCTTTTAATTTTCTGTCCTTTGCTCATGCTCTAGGACTATTTCGATGTTTGTTAATATAAGCACCGGGCCTGATTTCTTTTGTAGGAATGAAGGTGGTACTATAGCTGCGTTTATGCCTTTTTATTCATGACTAATGTTATTAGCAGCAAGATTATTCTATATGTTTTATAATTGCATCACTTTGCGCTTCTGTGTGCTTTGCTGCTTGTTTTTTCAAATGGCTACCATATTTTTAACCTAGTCAGAGCAATGATGTCAGGACACCCTCTTTTCCTTGTTTCTAAAAAACTGTCCAGTTCAGTCTCCTGATGTGCCTGTAGAAGGGAGCTGAAGAATGTTAATGACTGATGACTTAAGGTTGTGTAAGGCTTATCAGACCATATTAGAGAATACAGTTATACAATTGTCAACTAATCTCCCAAAGCTTCATGCTATTTTAACCTTTCAATGCCTTTTTTTTTTTAATTTGATTGTCAATACATTTTTTCTTGTAAATGCTTCTGTAAATCATTGGACTGTTTAAGGTTGCAACATCTAGCTGATCAAATAGAGTTTTCTTAGTGTTTGCTTTTCCTTACCAAGAGGACAGTGAACTCAAAACTAAAACTACCTTTTGAAATCAGATGCCCAGTGTCAGTAAAAGCTAACTGAACATAATTTTGATAAAACTAGCTGTATGATTACGATCAATTTTGATATGCCACGTGGACATATTTTTTTAGTTTTGAATATTTGGATATGCTTGCTATATGTTAGTCAATTTGTTTGCAGAGAATCTGTTAGTTGCTTAAGAAACGAGATACCCGGTATAGTTATCGAGTCATTTCATAAGCAGTGTTTGTTCCAATGCTGATAAACTAAGGAAGGATGCACAATGGTAACACTGTAACTACGAGAAATTGAAAACACATGATTTATTTGATTTGTCTGTTGTATATATGTTATGCACATGGAACATGATGCCCCAAGTTTACATCTTAGTGGAGAATAGTCATGCTATGCATATGAACATGATTGGAGTTTTACATGTTCTAATTTGTTTTCCCTGTTGATTTGGTTAAATCAAGTTTTAATTTCCAAAATAGCTGAATGATCTCTCTTAGACTTTTACACGTAATTATGTTCTGTTGGCAATCCAACTTGGCATCCAAAGAGACTAAAGTTTACCCTACCATTTTGCTACCAGCAATATTGTGATGTCTACCACATGAAAATACGAGGATGCACCTTTTGTATTCTGAACTATTTCTCTGCTCTTTTTCCCCTCATCTTTAAAATGGTTACCTCTGTTCCTAATAACAACTATTTTGTACTTGTGGATAACATGGATAACTATCATAGCTGGCCAATTCCATTTGAGATACAGTCCAGCTGTAATGCTTGGTATGCTTGAGGTTGTGGATACCAAACCTCTCAAATTTGTGTAATGTCAAAGTGAAATTGGATGACAATCGTATAGGAAATGACTAAATCGGAATTTTTCTTGGGCTCAGATGATTTATCTGAGAAAGTACTAAGAGCAAGTTTAATAATATAGCCAACTATTAGCTCTAAAAAATAACACATCATATATAGCTAACTTAATAAACCACTCATACAATAGTTAACTATAGATACGTATACTGCACCATTATTGTGCACTCCATATTTCTCTCAGTTCTTGGAGCACGAGCTGCAATCTGTAGCCCGCCTTTCATCTCCTCTTATTTCTTCTCCACATAAGCACAAATATGATGTTGCAACATGTAGAGCCCGCTTACATCATCTTATTATCTTTGCTCTAATGGGACAAGATGTTTATTTACTATTTTGGTTTCGTAGTATTTATTACTGAGAATAACATGTACTTCTAATCTTCTATGTTGTCTTAAAAGTTCTCTTGTTTTTCCCACATACCAGGTTGGAACTTGGAAGCCAAGAAGACAGTAGACGCGAAGTTGTTCAAAGCTGATGGTAATTGTAACTAGTCTGGTTTATGCTCATATGAATGGAGTTGAAGAATGGATAACATCGAGCTGATGTTTCTCTCTGGCCCATGTTTCTACACCGTGCTGTGCAAAGTTACATCCCCTTGGTTGTGGTTAATATTCTCGAGTCGCGTAGTACTCTGAAATCTACACCCTTGTCTATTATCATCTAGGTTATGTTCATGTAGCATAAGAGTTGAGTTGAGTCGTCAGCAAAGAAATTTTGTTCTTTCTGTTTCATACTTATTTTTTTTTGGGGGGGGGGGGGGTGTCATCCGGTTTGCCCCCTTCTATGGTTCGGTCACCTTGAAAGGAGTAACGTTGAAACTATTTAGGTGTTCCATTGTGTAGTCTTGCTCCGTGATAGCTCGCAGGCACATCAGACTACTCACTATGAAAAAGAAAATAATGAGACGTGTGGGTTACATTCATTGATTCTGCTCACTTCCCTGCCCGGTATGTGTCATCCTGTCAAAATCCTGGCATGGCATCTATCGTGCCATTGTTTTCATGGCTCCACATGGTGTTTGCTATACGAATTTTATTTAGTAAAACCGGACAATTTGTTCGTTGAACAAAGGGGACGGTCCGGAATGATAGCGTCTCTGCAGCGGCTACCTCCTACCGGTGCAAGAAAGCTACAGCCTTGTCGGCTTGAACGTCACGTGCAAAAATGTAGTAGCAGCATGAATATATTAGTAGCATGGTGATTTCTTATTCTTATACGTGTATTTTTGTCTGAAACATGGTACTCCAGTAACATTTAATGAAATTAACGACGTTTCCTTGGAAATTCTGAGCACAAAATTGCATGACACGTCTGCGCTGAGTCAGTCTGGTGGTCCTAATTAACTCGGGGGCCGTAATTTTTCATTCCTCCATCCTACTAGATTTTAGCGGGTCGTTTTTAAGAGGTGACATGACACAGCGTGTGAACCAGAATATTTCGCCCTAATCATCAGTTTTCCAGAGCCGTTTGTGGCCGTGCAAGCTTACTGGTCGCTGGATTGTTTGATTTGCAAGAGCAAGTGGCAACCATCCAACCATCCAAAGCTCTAACAGCCACGAGCTGTGTACTATAGTACTCCGTACAGCGACATGGTCGATTCGTGTTCATGGCGACGATCCTGGTATCCAGCCTTTCGGTCACCCGGACGCCACTGAAGATTCTTTATATCATCGGAAAACGATAGTCCTCTACGTAGTAAAAGGACTGCAGTAACTACGGTAATTTCCTTGCTGACAGAAACCCTCGCAACGTGCTTTTCGCCAGCGAGTGGTGTAATTTTGCATTTGGCGAAATTAATCACTCCGTGGAATTCAGAAGAAAAATACAGAGATCATGAGATTTACTGGAGACAGGGATTGTTCATTCTTGCAGTATTACCATATGAGTGAAAGGAGAAGAGGGATATTCTCAGGAGCAAACTCTTAATGATTACTCAAAAATTTAACTGGTGGCTGTGGCGCTTTGTGTCTCTCACTGACCGACTCGTGCTGCCCTTTATAATAGCCACGGAATTTTAGCACAAAGAGGCAGACACGAGAAAAGGGAAGATACAAGTGTCATCCCGCATCCAACAACCATGGACTCCTTGTATGATATCTCCTGCTTTGCTGCTGGTCTTGCAGGTACGGAACTTCATTTCGATCTCGCACTTACAATTCTTCTTAAGTTCCTATCGCAAAATGGTCTGGATCGAAAAGAGGCTTGCTAATCTTCTGAAAATCTGGCCGCCTCCTTTTGTTTTGTCGCTGCAGGCAACATCTTTGCGCTTGCTCTCTTCCTGTCGCCAGTGTAAGCACACGTTCGGTTTGGTTTTTTCTTGATCCTTTGATTCGTAGCCGAAGTTCATAACTGAATTTTCCTTGTTTCAGGACGACGTTTAAGAGGATCCTGAAGGCCAAATCGACCGAGCGATTCGACGGGCTCCCTTACCTGTTCTCGCTGCTGAATTGCCTCATCTGCCTGTGGTATGGACTTCCCTGGGTCGCCGATGGCAGGCTGCTCGTCGCTACCGTCAACGGCATTGGAGCGGTGTTCCAGCTCGCCTACATTTGCCTCTTCATCTTCTACGCGGACAGCAGGAAGACGAGGGTAATTCTTCCCATCCTGCAACCAATTTTGTCTCAGAAAAATGTACTTGTAGACTGCAGTAATAGATTGCTAATGTAGTAGCCTAGTACTGTACATTTTCAATTTTGTCTGATGCCAATATGCCATCAAGAAAGGAAAAGATGATGGATAATGTTTTCCAATTCCTCCACAGATGAAGATCATAGGGCTCTTGGTGCTGGTAGTTTGCGGGTTTGCGCTAGTTTCACATGCGAGCGTCTTTTTCTTTGATCAACCGCTTCGGCAGCAGTTTGTGGGAGCTGTGAGCATGGCTTCGCTGATCTCCATGTTCGCTTCTCCGTTAGCTGTCATGGTACGTATGCCTCTCGATCAAGCTGAGCTCTTGATCAATATCATCTCCGGCATGTTTAATAGAACTGAGGGATCTCACTAACCTTTGCTTGCTCCATCCATCCTTGTGTCTACAGGGAGTTGTGATTCGGTCAGAGTCTGTGGAGTTCATGCCGTTCTATCTGTCACTCTCTACGTTCTTGATGAGCGCCAGTTTTGCATTGTATGGGTTGCTGCTGCGAGATTTCTTCATTTATGTGAGCATCATCTTGTATCGCTTTAAATCACTTCATTTCTTGAATCGACATGCATGTTTATGAGCTTGATGGATCTTGTACTGACAGCTTGATTCTTTTTTTTTTAACCATTTTGATTTTTCAGTTCCCTAATGGGCTTGGACTTATCCTGGGAGCAATGCAGCTGGCGCTCTACGCTTACTACAGCAGAAAATGGAGAGGCCAGGATTCATCTGCACCGTTGCTGCTCGCATGATCAAAACCGGAGTGAATGATTGATCGATCAGCTGGTTTTGCCATGGTTTGGATTCTTGAAAGAGTGGGTTTATGGTGAATTGTACAGTTTTGGCTCAGTCTTCACATGTTGGTACTGGAAGCTGTACTTCAAACTGCATTCTTCAAACATGTTGGAAAGTTTTGCACACCAGGGGGGCAAATGATGGATTTTTTTTAATTTGATTCCCTCCTTTTCCTTGAATACTTGGTGTGCAAAATTATTTCAGCTATGCACATTGAGCCTCACTTCTTGTTATCAATTATGACATGTCACATATGTATAAGTTGCGATGATAGTTTTGTTTCGTTGCTGTTTGTAAACTGCAATATTCTTCTCGCCAAACTGTGTGAACAACAAATCAATGGCCACGTCATATATGTACAAGTTGAGATGATAATTTTGTTTTGCTGCTGTTGGTAAACTGCAATCAATGGCCAATGTTTATGACACCTAGGGCAAGTCCGAGATATTTGGTTCGTCCGTGAGGAAGGTGTACGACATGTTTGCACCATCCTGGCTATGAATGTACACACACTCTTATCCTTATAAATACACACACATATCCTATCCCTACGAGCACTTCCGAAATATTGGACTGACATATCTTGATATTGACGAAGTCATCACATGCGCATCGTTGCCGATAGGTACGCCACCTACTACTAAAATAATAATTAGCCGTAAATAGGAGCATCCATATCAAATATATGATTTGAATCTAGGGTTCTAACATAAGAAACCTAACTAGTTGAGCTACATTTTGTATTATGTTTTATTGAACTTGAATTTCACACAAAAAAAATAAAAATTCATATCTCCTCGCACAAATAAAAAACAATTAAGCACCATTTTTGGACAGCTCAAAATTTTATCTCACCCTAGAATTCCGATTTCTACAAGTGGAAAATAGACCTAATCAAATGTAAAACAGTGGTAAATGTACCGGGCCTTATAGATCTAATTAGGCCCAAGCCCATCCAGCGAAACACGTTTCAGTTGGCCCGTAACGTGGAATCCATCCCGTTCCGTTCTCCTCCTCGTCCTCGTGGCGTTCGGACCAAACGGAGCGCAGATTAACCAACCATCCCTGTGTTCTTCCTCCTCCGCCCAATAAGCCGCTAATCTCGTCTCCGCCCTTAGAAGAGATCAGCCCCTCGCAGCGGATGCCTGGGCTAGCATTTTGGTTGGTTCGATGGAGTCTAAATCCCCCAGTTTTTAATCTGTGAGCCGTCTCCCTGCACTCTGATGTCTGTTTCGTCTGGCTTTTGATTCCATTGTGATTAATTAGGTCATGATGTTAGATGCAAATTTGTATGTCATTGCGGATGATAATGCTGTATTGAAATGCATGGGGATTGGGGGTTCATGCAGGTAGACTCGGACGCTAGCTGGCCGGCGCAAATATGTGAGTTCTTCTGATTTTTTTTTTTTTACGTAAGAAGGTAGAGTCAGCCATTTCATCGATATAAATGAGTGTAAGGTACATGAGGAAGGGGGGTGGAGGAAAAAAAGAGAGAAAAGAGAGTAAAAGAGAGAATGTACAAAAGTTCAAAAAGTAATAATTCTGATTCAACCGAGCACCTGCATGTCTTCGAATTTAGGGGGAAAAACTAAGTGCAAACTACAGACATTTCCATCTGTGCAGCCTACTTGTTATTTCTCTGATTGCTGAATGCAAATGTGATTTGGAGGGCGGGTGGGTTGATCGGTTCCTGTGATACACAGATACTGCTACTCAAGCTTGGTCTCTTTTGTTTATTTTTATGCAGGTGACTGTGTAAAGCTGACAATAGGATGTTGACATGTTGCTGTTTAGATGACACCAGATGAAACTGTACAATTCTAGACACAATTGTGATGCCTTCTTTATTGATCTCCTTTTGTATTTGTGCGTGCATGTGTCAAACTATTGGCTAACACTAATGCTCCATGTTTAATATTCTCAAGGCCCTTATTACTTTAAAGAAAGGTACTAAACTCATCAAGTATAGCCGGAGAGGAAAACCCAAGATCCGTGCGTTCAGACTTTCTAGCGTAAGCGATAAGCCCCAAGTATGTGCCGATTGCTTGATGTCGGTGATACCAAATTTGATTATGTCCCTTTGACCTTTACGTATTGCAGGATGAAACATCTTTAATTTGGTTTTCTCACAAAAAGGAAAAGTTCCTCAGACTGTCTTCTGTCACTAAGATCATTCCTGGACAGAGAACTGTAAGTCCTCCATATCCTTAAACAACAACAGTTGCAAAAGAGCATAAACTTCCATCAAGCTGGTACCTTGCTATCCTACTAATCAACTTTTCACCAGGCTGTGTTTGGGAGGTTTTTACACCCTGAGAAGGATTATTTATCATTTTCCCTCATATTTAAAAACGGGCAACGCTCACTTGATCTGGTATGGTAAAGATAAAATTATGTAATTCACTCAATCTAAGTCCCAATCATTAGCTTATGATAAATACTTATTTTTTTTCGATTCATAGCATAGGTTGAGTCTATGATAGCATGCACTGCAGAGGACATTCCTAGTATGAACTTCTTTCTATTCTGCAGGTTTGTAAGGATCAAGCTGAAGTTGAAGTCTGGTTTTCAGCACTTGAGGGGTTAATAAGTTCATTCCGCAAAAAATCTTTGATTAACGAACACAAGGATAGAGTATCATTTTCTGAAGTGAGTTATGCTCGACCTTCCTACAGGAATTTCTGTGCCTCTGTACGCAACTATATTCATGGTTCAGTTTTGCTATACAGTTACCATTTTAGAAGGAAAAAATGACTCAAGCATCGTAGATATGCATATAACGCACAAATACCATAATACCGTAAGTTTTTTCGAGAAAAGAAATTTAGTTCAATTTATAATGAAAGTTATAGGTTTATACAGCAAAAGTAAAAGTAGGGGTTACTAGCTTACAATAATGTACATGAAACAAAAGCACCTAAACTTTAGGAGTGCAGACCCTCTAGACAAGATGGAACATAAACTTTTCCAGGATGATGAGTCCAGGCTAAGACTGCCTCAGCTCCCTACCTTTTGTTTTGCTCTGAACAATTAACTCATCCACCAAAATTCTATGATTGTTACTGAAAAAAATATATGTACATACTAAAAGCATACATCATTAAAATGTTACTTTGATCAATCTAGTTTTTAGTTATGTACTCTACTCCGCTCTGTAACATGTGGGAGCTAGGTATCCACTTTGAATCTTTTATCTATCTAGATTTTGGTTACCAACTCTTCTCCTCTTTCTATCAACTAACTCTGCTCCTCTTCGAGAATTATAAGCCCCTATATAATTAGGATGTATAGTATATTCTGAGACAGCAAGTCTTTACAAATATTCTAATATAGTGCGCCTTCCTTCTTTTTTCCAGGAAGTAACTTATTATCAAGATCGCCATTCCTATGATTCAACACTAGATATTGCTTCAAATATTTCACGCAGTTTTAACTCAGCTGGTTACTGTGGAACCAATTCATTTAGTTTCAGAAAATCAGATGTGGGATTTGATCGTCTAAATATGATAAGAACAAGTGCTGCAGACAGTAGCCGGGTTAGTATTTCTAGTGCCCTTAGTTCTTACAGTCAAGGTTCTGGAACAGATGACATAGAATCCCTTGGTGATGTTTATGTCTGGGGTGAAGTATGGACTGATGTAACCCCATCAGATGGGCACACAAGCTCTTCATGCTCAAAAGTAGATGTTTTGATCCCCAAACCTTTAGAATCTGATGTCGTGTTAGATGTTAATCAGATAGCATGTGGTACGAGACATGTAGCTCTTACTACCAGGCAAGGAGAGGTGTTTACGTGGGGTGAGGAATTTGGTGGGCGCCTAGGTCACGGAACTGATGCTGATATTAGTCGCCCCAAGCTTGTCGAGTCTTTATCACTAACCGTAGTTGATCTTATTTCATGTGGAGAATTCCATACTTGTGCTGTGACTACTTCCGGTGATCTATTCAATTGGGGGGATGGTTCTTACAATGTCGGACTGCTTGGGTGTGGCACTGAAGTTAGCTACTGGCTTCCAAAGAAAGTCTCAGGGCCCTTAGAAGGTCTTCAAGTTCTATCTGTTGCATGTGGCTCATGGCATTCTGCTTTGACCACATCAAGTGGAAAACTTTACACATTTGGTGATGGAACATTTGGTGTTCTTGGACATGGTGACCGTGAAACTTTAGCATACCCAAAAGAGGTAGAAGCCTTGAGTGGATTCAAAACGATCAAAGTTGCATGTGGAATTTGGCATTCTGCAGCAATTGTGGAGGTTACTAATCAGACAGGTGCAAATGTGATGTCTAAGAAGTTATATACCTGGGGTGATGGAGATAAGAACCGCCTTGGCCATGGGGACAAAGAGCCTAGGTTAGTTCCTAAATGTGTTCAAGCGCTTTTAGAGTACAATTTTCATCAGCTGGCTTGTGGACATAATATGACTGTTGCCCTAGCTACATCTGGTCGTGTGTTTACCATGGGTAGTTCCAGCAATGGCCAGCTTGGAAATCCAAAATCTGATGGCAAGCAGCCTTGCTTAGTTCAAGATAGATTGGCTAGTGAGTTGGTTGAAGAGATTTCATGTGGAGCTTCTCATGTTACAGTTTTGACTTCAAGAAGTGAAGTATATACATGGGGAATGGGTGCCAATGGAAGACTTGGTCATGGCGATCTCAAGGACAGGAAGAAGCCATGTCTTGTTGAAGCACTTAAAGATCGGCATGTCAAGAGTATATCATGTGGTTCAAATTTCACAACATGTATTTGCATACATAAGTGGGTATCAGGTGCAGATCAATCTGTCTGCACGGGTTGCAGGCAAGCATTTGGTTTCACTAGAAAGAGACATGATTGCTACAACTGTGGGCTGGTTCATTGTCATGCTTGCAGTTCAAGAAAAGTGTTGAAGGCTGCTCTAGCACCAACTCCAGGCAAGCCACATCGTGTGTGTGATTCATGCTTTCTAAAATTGAAAGCCGCAGAGACCGGCAGCAACAATTCTAACAGAAGAAATGCTGTTACTCGTCGCTCTATTGATGGGAGAGAGAAGCTTGAGAGGCCAGAAATAAGGCCTTCCAGGACAACAGCACCAGCGGAATCAGTCAAGTATACAGAGGTAAAAGCTGCAAGAAATGATATGAGAGCATCCCAAATTTCTTCCTTGCTACAGTTCAAAGATCTTAGCTTCTCTGCTCTTCAACCCACGGCGATGTCACCAGCTGTAACTATGTCACCTGCAGTACCTGCACTCTCAACACCATCTCCATACACAAAGAAAACAAAATCACCTGCACCTGCAATCCCGCAATTCCCTAAAACTGATATAGATAACTTGCAGAAGTCTAACGAATTGCTGAATCAAGAAATGTTGAAGCTGCAATCTCAGGCAAGAATGAAACTGCTGTTTATTCTGTACCTTGTTACAGCTAGCTATTCTGATAAACCATTGTGTTTTCAATAGGTTGATAGCTTAAAACAAAAGTGCGAGGCCCAACACGAGCAGCTTCAGATATCAGATAAGAAAACTAAAACAGTTGTCTCTATGGCCACGGAAGAATATACTAGATGCAGTGCTGTGGTCGAGTTTGTTAAATTTCTTGATAACGAGGTATAGTAAAATCCTTTTGATAATATTGTGGTTCAGATCTTGGATGTTATTAGGGTTCTTCTCTATTGAATTTATTTTCTTTACTAAATGGCTGTAGAAACAGAATATCATCCATGTTTGGAGGAATGAATCTAATGACTATTTCATGTCACCGGATACCTAATCATCCACTCTTCTGCAGCTCAATGGTATAGTGCATGAACTGCCCAGCGATGCAGCAGAAAGCTTGAAAGCCTTACAAAATCAGGTGCAGGCACTGCTGAGGGAGCAAAGAAGTCATCCTTCTGAGCTTCTAAATCCTATGGATCATGATGGTATTCAACTGTCTAGTGGTGGAAATGCATTACATGATTTTTCCAATCATAGGTCAGGAAGTACACGCTACTTGTTCATGTCACAAGATGCCAGTTCTGCAAGTGGCTCTGCCATTTCACTTACAAGTGAACCCCCTTCCCATCGTGGCATGGAACACCACGCAAAGGTTCCTAACGATTTTGTACCGAAGCATGATACTCATGGAGAAGTTCAATTAATTGAGCAGTTTGAACCTGGTGTATATGTCACACTTATCCAGCTGAAGGATGGTAGCAAAGTATTCAAGCGGGTCCGGTTCAGGTACATCTCCCTATCCATGCTGCAATCTAGATGTTAAACTGCTACATCCTTTCCATCTAAAATTTTCCGTCTCCTTAAATTTGTCGGACAGCAAGAAGAAATTTGCAGAGAATCAGGCTGAAGAATGGTGGCGGGAAAACCAAGAGCGGGTCTTCAAGAAGTACAGCCATCCGACTGTTCCTCAAACAACATCAACGAAAACAGGATCTTCTAACGAGGAAGAACATCACTCATGATCTTTAATGAGGTTTCTACAAATTGCGGAAGAAGCTTCAAATTGGTGAGACACTGTACAGCGAGTCTTGACAGGAAATTTCGACTCTCTAATTGGTTATTGCTCGGAGAAAAATACCTGCTTATGTCGAAAGTATAGGATAATTTTTATTTAGTGCCAAAACTTAGTTTAGTTACAGACCATATTAAAAGCAAGTCGGAGTTAAGTAACTCTTTTCTAGGTGAGAAATTAGTAGAGTATTGAGTATTGACTATCTGGGTCGATGTTGCGAAGGGAATGACGGAGGAAGCGGCGCTCTGGCGGGCGGCAAACTCGGCAATCCCATCATTTCTTTCACAAATCCCAGGCCATTTTGTTTCTGTCTTCCAGTATCGGCCCCCTGCTGTTTTTCGATCTTTAATTGTAAATAACTTTTATTTCTCTTAATAGAAAAAATGCGCCTGTGGCGTATTCCTGAAAAAAGTATTGACTATCTCTGGTGAGGCATAGAGTGAGCCTGTGAAAAAGGAATGACTCCCTGACAAGCATAGAGTCAAATTGTACTTATTTTGACCAAAGGTTTTTTTTTTTTTTTGTCTAAGATGTGTAGTCTGGATGTTTGGTTATATGAAAATGCATGAGTATGTTTTTTCCGCCGTACATACTCACTCCTGTAATTTTTTTAAATATATACCAAAAGAATTAAGTGACCAAACTGACTTTAAAAAGTCAGAAATTTTGATGACGGGGGGCTCTTCATTCGATAAGGCCATTAAACTCTTTCAGAATGACCGAATTAGGTGATGTTATCACGAACATTAGGCTGTGTTCGGTGGATGACGTTGGAACTAAAACGAAACGATTCATAAGTGTTAGCTATTTTTTTTTAAAAAATAGATTAATATGCTTTTTTAATCAATTTTCTTATAGAAAAATTTTGTTAAAAAAACACTATTTAACAGTTTAGGAAATATATGTGTGAAAAATAAAGGAGGTGAGTTAGGAACGATGACCATCATACGTTGCTTAGGTTCATACATCCCTTTGTCCCATAAGAAACAAAACTGGTTTGTTTTGAGAACTTTCTTTTGTAACACTGAACGGCACAAGTCAACACATACACATAGGGCTCCCCGAGTCTCCAAGCTGACAGGTCACAGCCTCGTGAGGACCACTCCAATCTGGACGCTCCTGACCTCCTCCCTCTCCATGGTCGCCGTGACGAGCTCGGTGTACTTGGCGAAGAGCGCGTCGACGATCTCCGTCCCGAAGTGGTGCCCCAGCATGGACTCCTGGATGGCCCTCACCGCCATCGACACCGTCCTTCCGTCCTTCCTCGCGTCGCCGCTGCCGCTCAGGCTCGCCTCGTACGCCCGCGCGACCTCCATCCTGAACGACCCCTGCCGCCGCACCTCCTCCTCGATCTCCCCTATCGACGGCGCGTAGAACGGCGCGTCGTACGCGTCCACCTTGCCCTGCTCCACCACCCCCTGCGCGGCGTACGGCCACACGCGGCGTCAATGCATATTGCGCGTGTCATGCACGGCCGAAGACGCTATGTGAAAACTTGGCTCACCTGTGACACCAGCGCGGCGAACGACTCGGAGAGGAGATCCCACAGCAGGGTCGTGTTCCTGTCCGCGTGGCGCTCGCCCTCCCTGCCGAGCATGGAGACCACCATCCGGCCGCCGGCGACGACCTCGGCGGCGCGTGACCTGAGGAACAGGCTGAAGTCTCTCCGGAACTGCCTCGAGTACGCCGCTGCCACGGCTGGAGGGCTCGTGCTCGATATGAACATCTTCCCCTTGTTCACGGGCCCGTTCGTCTCATCCAAAAGACCGGGAGGAACCTGAGAAATGTGCATTTTAAAACGACATGATCTAGACAACTGACAAGGATATCATCACAAAAATCAACCGATCGAACATTGCACGTTCGTACGACGCGCGCATCGTACCTGAGAGAGCCAGTGCAGGCTGGAGAAGGAGCAGACGAAGTGCACATTCTTGCTGGGGAACAGCCTCCCGTAGAAGGACCCGGGGACGCCGGACAGGAACACCATCGGGTCGTCGCCGGCGTCGGCGTCGGCGTCGGCCTTGAGCTTGCCGGTGAACTCGGGAAGGCGGGAGAAGATGGTGTTGAAGTCGTTGGTGGGGAGGTCGTTGAGGAGCACCGAGAACTCCGGCGGTGGCGACGACCCGCGGCACACCTCGGCGACGCTCCTGACGATCTCCTCCACCATGCCGAGAGCGTTCGTCCCCGACGAGCAGCCGAGGTCGGCCAGGGTGAACCTTTCCGGCTTGAGCGACGCGTACACGTCCCTCGCGGACTCCGTCACGAGGCTCTTCACGGTGTCCATGCTCTTCTTCTGCAGGAACAACACGGGTGCGCGCGGGCGTGCATGCATGCATAGCGCCAATTAGTTTTTCCAAGGATTAACCAAGGGCGTATGCCGTATGCGTAGATAACTATATAGATATGGATGGTGACGAGCCGATGTGGAGTGCTGACCTGAAGCGTAGAGTTCTTGGCGTAACTGGTCTCGCCGACACCTTCCTTCATGTGGAGGACGGCCTCCACGTTCATGGATGGCGCCGGGTCGTCGGGGCACTGGAGTGAAGAAGACATCGCCGGCAGTTTGCTGATCAAGAATTCACGCAATATTATGCTATATAATGTTGCGCACTGGATCGATCAATCTTGGACTGTTTCAAAATGAAAAAAAAAAGGAAGTCATTTGTGCTGCGATTAATTGGTGCTGTACATGCTGCGTAAAAGGCCCACATATCAGTAACATAAGTTAGAGAGAAGGCAAATCTGAGGAAACTCAATCCAGTTAATTATTTGGGTTAGTTTATGTGGACTTGACCGTAAACATTTTCGGAGGCGAACAATAATATTTACCTTCAAAATTTTCTAATACATGCACTGCACATTACTTCAGGACGATCGATCTGATTTCTGATCTCCACTCCAGGTTGGGTCAAGTCGTGCACTCTGTCCCTAAAAGAAAAGAAAGTAAGAAAATGAGAAGTCCTGCACTCTGCACAGTACTGCGTGGTGAGGTGATTTTTTAAGAGCACCGGTACACGTACTAAATTATTCTTGCTAAATTTTTACTAACAATCATATTTCAACAGTTTGATTTAGGTAAATAGAAATTATAAAAAATCTAGATGCACTCATAGCATGACACATCGATGTTAGTAAGAATTTAGTAACATCTGTGCTAGTAAGAATTTAGTAAGAAAAAAGTTAGTATGTACGTGCAGCTTTTTCCTTTTTAAAAAACCAAAGGTGTTGAGGTGATATTTATAGGCAAGGCACGCAATCGGAATAAGGAATTCAGTGGATTGCGCTACCATGGCGAAATGATTTTTTCCATTTTAAAATATTTATCAGTATTGGCTACTATTACCGTTTCAATTTTTATATAAGCCTTGTTTAGATCCCAAAAAATTTTGACCAAAAACGTCACATCAAATATTTGGACACATGCATAGGGTATTAAATGTGGGGAAAACAAACCAATTGCACAATTTGCATGTAAGTTGTGAGACGAATCTTTTGAGTCTAATTACGCCATGATTTGACAATATGATGCTACAGTAAACATTTGCTAATTACGGATTAATTAGGCTTAATCAATTTGTCTCGCAGTTTACATGCAGAATATGTAATATGTTTTGTTATTAGTCTACGTTTAATATTTCAAATGTGCGCCCGTATACTTAAAAACTTTACACCTAAAGAACTAAATACACCCATAGTTTTTAAATAGTAAGGTTATAATGAATGAAAGTTATGTGGTTATACTATACTCTCCCCGATTTTTAATGGTGCAATTGACTTTTATACATACGTTTGACCATTCATTTAATTTTCAAAAATATATAATTATAATTTATTTTGTTGTTACTTGGTTTATCATTAATTGTACCTTAAGCATATTTGTACAAGATTTTCTAAATAAGATGGTTAGTCAAACATATGTTTCAAGTCAAAGGTGTTGTCTATTAAAAATTCGAGGATCACATTTTTATGAGAATTCAACTCTTAGCATAAAGATTTGGCCAAAATATAAAACACCACAAAATTTGGAAAGTACCAATTAATACCACATGATATTTAGGAGTAAAAAGTGAAGGTAAGAGAGTTAGAAAGGGGGCAAAAGTGACACATTATCTAGTTATGTGGTATAAATGGAAGTCATGGTATTAATTGGCACTCTCTAACAAATTTTGTGGTATTATTTGAATTTGGTGAAATCCACATGCTTTATTAATCAATTTGCCAATCAAGTGATAAAAGTTTGAATATGGATCTGGCAACAAGTATCCAAAACAAAGGTGTTAATTCCTTTTTGAACAAATTCACTTTGCATGTGTTGTACTGTCTCCGGTTTTTAATATTTGACGTAACTATTGGACTGATCATTCATTTTATTTAAAAGTTTTATAAAAATATAATAAATATAAATCATACTGGAAGTACCTTTAATGATAAAACAGATCATAACAAAACAAATAATAATTACATATTTTTTATAAAACAAATGGTCAAATATATTTTTAAAAGTAAAAGGTACTATTAAATATTAAAAATCGAAAGGAGTATGAAAGTACGACCCGCAAATATCAACAGCTTGTTCTACGCGCCAGCAAACTCTAGTTTTTATGTGCTTACTGTGTTAGAGATTCGGCTTAATTTAATGTATTGAAAGTTCAGTTTTATTGCCTGGGGTGGTCGAAGTAACTATGCCAGCGGACATCCAGATGGGAAGTAATTCTTTACTTTTGTACATATAAGTATTTTGAAGGGGAAAAAAACAATTCCCTGATAGGTGCACATATCTCTAAATTTTAAACAAGTATATGGTCTCCTACTCTCCTTTGGTTTGTCTTATTGTGGCCTTGGTATCTCAATGGTTTTGATACCTAGCTTCAACTGCCCCTGGATAGAAATTTAGACACAAGCTGATGGTGGTATACCTGACAATCATTACAGATTTTCTTAACTATTAAGCATGTTATTGATCGAATAGTTTTAGGGAGATGCTCTGCATGTTCTATACGAATAATACAAGATACCACTAAGATTGAACACTAAAATATTAAGGCCGTGTTTAGTCGTTTTGGTAAATTTTTTGACGTATACAGACACACAGTTGAAATATTAAACGTAGACTAATAACAAAACAAATTGCAGATTCCGCTTGTAAACTACGAGACAAATAAATTAAGCCTAATTAATCCATTGTTATTAAATGTTTACTGTAGCACCACATTGTCAAATCATAACGTAATTAGGCTCAAAAGATCCGTCTCGCAATTTACATGCAAATTGTGTAATTGGTTTTTTTCATCCACATTTAATGCTTCATATATGTGTCCATACATTTGATGTGATGGAAAAGTTAGAAGTTTAAAGGGAAAACACAGCCTAAGTGGGTTCTATATGCATGGCCGGCTGGCCAGATTCCCTCAAACTTAAAAGGAATATACCAGAGTGATGCATTCTGTTTTTTCGAGCAGCTGCGACCATACTGTTGTCTTATTTGAGGCGCTACCTAGTTGCTCTGTTCTTTTTTTAAAAAAAGAAAAAATGAATCAAATCTTGTCTTAGAGCATGTACAAATAGAACTATCTATAACTGCTAGCTATAGATAAGTCATATCACCTAAGTCCACCATTATCTATTTTTTTCATCCGATGAGACCTGCAAAAATAAAATATTGTATCACCTCTTTCCACGTGGCACGTGCTATAGCTTTGACTAAAAATTTGAGAGAAAATTCGATCTGAAAAAAGGGTAAAAAAATTAGCACACAAAAATTTCCTCTTAAGTTAAAAGCACAGGTCACCGATTTTCCTTTGATAAGTAGCATTTCCGTCTCATTTTGAGTAAATGACGTTAGATTTTATCCGAGTAGAGAAATTTATCCTCAGGCTAATTAAATTTGCTCTTTGCTTTCATCGTCACTGAGCCAAGTGCCAAAGAGGCGGTTCGGCACGGGAGCAGGCATGGTGGTGTGGGTGGTGCAGGCGCATTGCGGACTCATGGCGGTGACGCGTGATAGTGGCTACGGCTCGGGAGACCGACAAGTAGGCTTGGCAAGGCGGCGGTCGGCGTGGGCCGCGCAGCGGCGCAGGCACAGGAGCGAGCATCAAGCAGCTGTGCAGTTCAGCACGAGATCGAGCAGGCACGGGCGCGTCGTGGATTCAGGCGCCGCCGCGCGGCAGTGGCTAAACGGGTACAGGAGGCTGGCAGCGAGTAGGCTCACCGAGGAAAACGAAGGGCAAAATATTCTAAGGATAGATTACTCTACTTCAGTCTAACGTCGTTTGTTCAAAATGTAACAGAAGTGTTATATATAGAAGATAAATATGTACGACCTGTGTTTTTTGATGGAAGGGAAAACTTCTTGTGCTATCTTTTTTTACCGGGTTGTTTTTTTTTCTATGAATTGAATTTTCTCTAAATTTATAGCTGGGTACACTCTCTCATCCAGAACACTTGATCCAAAATTAATCAGACACTCACACAACAAATTGTTCATCACAAAACACTAAATTGACGAAATGATTTCACATCTATATTCCTACAAAAAGTACACCTTAAACTACTAAATTGTATACCCTAAATTTTAGTTTATAAATCCGAAGCCATTAAAAATGTCCCCTTAACCCAAAACCACATCAAATGTTTTTTTCACTTAGGCATAATTACTTATTTGTGCTAAATCTCTTCCTTGCGTACTTTACATGAGTATTTATAATTGAGATAAACCCTTTTTGCTCCTTAATTATGGTCTTGTCCACACATGCAAGTCTAAATTCGAGCTACAAATGAAGAAATTAAAATAATAAATTTTATCTGCATTGCACAAATACTATTCATTGTCTGATTTTATTATGTTTGTTTTAGTGGTTGTTAATCAAATTTAGTCTTTGCATGTTTGTCTATATAGATTTATGTCATCCCAATTGGTGTTACTATTTTTTTTAACATTTCTATAACTATTTAAATCACATGTAAATAACGGCTGCTATAGCACCTAGTTGTAGAAAATTCTTGTCTCTACCATCTTCCTCTCCCTTAAGCATCGTCTACTTCTATCCTGGCCCTCCTACTTTGCCCAACACTAGCCGCACCCCCCTCCCCCAAAAAAAAGAAAGAGAATCATTGGATCTCAATCCGATCATCAATATTGATTGAGAATATTTCACGACTGATTTGAGCAAATAGTAATAGATTGGGAAAGTGATTTTATCCCTCGAGGGATATCCTCTTGTTCGGTGCATGCCACCTAAATAGTCATAAAAAATATGAAATAATTGGCAACATAGATTAATATGAAATATATCACTCCACAAACATGCAAATTTAAATTCAACTTCTACAAGTTGTAACAAAAATAACAAATATAGTTGTGAATGTACGATAACTATTTTTAGTTTAATGTACTATTTTTATTGCAACTTGTAGAAGTTAAATTTGGTCATACATATTTATGGAGTGATATATTTCTTATTAATCTATATTGTTAATTTTTTTTAATTTTTTTAATAACTATTCAGATGACATGTAAACAATGAGGGGAGGTTCCCTGTAGGGATAAAAATCCACATCTATAATAGATTGAGGAATGGAAGGGTGAGAATGATTGGATAGTACGTTGTCGACAAAACAAGAATCTCAATTGTTCTCATCGACTGATACCTTTCAAATTCGGCCTGAAGCTAGCTGACAGTGGCATTTATAGATCGCTTGGGTAGAGCGTGGTATTTGATAAGATACTGCTACTACTTCTCACAGTGATGCATCTCCATAGTCATGCAGCCCATGGCAACAGCAAATCTTCTCTACGCTGCATTGCTTGTGCCAACGGTGCTGTACCTCGCCGTCACCCGGCGGCGCAGCCGCCGCTTGCCACCAGGACCGGTGGGGCTTCCTCTCGTTGGCAGCCTCCCATTCATCGACCCAAACTTGCACACCTACTTCGCTAGCCTCGCCGCGAAGCACGGGCCCATCCTCTCCATCCGCCTCGGTTCCAAGGTGGACATCGTCGTCAATTCCGCCCAGCTGGCCCGCGAGGTGCTCCGCGACCAGGACTCCGTCTTCGCCAACCGGGTCATGCTGGATGCCGGCGACGCCGTCTCCTTCGGCGGCGCACAGAATATCGTGGGCAACCCGCTCGGGCCTATGTGGCGCCTGCTCCGCCGCGTCTGCGTCCAGGAGATGATGAGCCCCGCGGGGCTCGCCAGCGTGCACGGCCTCCGTCGGCGCGAGTTCAGGTCCACCCTCCGGTACCTCCACTCCAAGCCCGGCGAGCCGGTGGACGTCGGCGCGCAGATGTTCCTGAACACCATGAATGTGATCACGGGCACCATGTGGGGGGGAACGATCGGAAGCGAGAGCGAGAGGTCGGCGGTGGGGAGCGAGTTCAGGGGTCTCGTCGCAGAGGTCACCGAGCTCCTCGGAACGCCCAACGTCTCGGACTTGTTTCCGGTGCTGAAGCCGTTCGACCTGCAGGGTATCCGGAGGAAGATGGAGCGGCTCAGGTCGCGGTTCGACCTGTTGTTCACCAAGATCATACAGCAGCGGATGAGATCCCAGCAAGACGGGGGCGAGATGACAACGGACTTCTTGGAGTGCTTGCTCAAGATGGAAAAGGAAGGTAGCGACGGCAAAACAACCTTTACCATGGACAACGTAAAGGGCTTCCTCTTGGTAATTAATTAATTAATTGCAACTCGATTTCATTTCTCCACATTAGCATTTCATCCCGCAGGTTCCGAAATGGTCTCAAAATTTCAATAATCAGAAATCGGTTAATCTCTATATGTTATATATATGCGTGAACAGGAGATGGTGGTCGGCGGGACGGACACCACGTCGAACAGTGTGGAATGGATTATGGCGGAGTTGCTGCAGAACCCTCAGGTTCTGAACAAGGTGCAGCAAGAACTCGACAGCATCGTGGGCCGGGACGCCGTCGTGGAGGAGTCCCACCTCCCGCAGCTCCACTACCTCCGCATGGTGATCAAGGAGACGCTCCGGCTGCACCCGCCGGTGCCCCTCTTGGTGCCGCACAGCCCGAGCGCCGCCGCGACGGTCGGCGGATACCACGTCCCCGAGGGCTGCCGCGTGCTCATCAACGTCTGGGCGATCCAGCGGAACCCACTGGTCTGGAACAAGCCACTCGATTTCAACCCGGATAGGTTCGCCAGGGACGGCGGCCACAAGGGGGACTTCACCGGTAGCCAGCTGGACTACCTCCCGTTCGGGTCCGGCCGGAGGATGTGCGCCGGGATGGCCATGGGGGAGAAGGTGATGGTGTACTCGGTTGCCATGCTGCTGCAGGCGTTCGACTGGAAGCTGCCGCAGGGCGTGCAGCTTGACCTGTCCGAGAAGTTTGGGATCGTGATGAAGAAGGCCACACCGCTGGTGGCAATACCGACACCTAGGTTGTCTAAGCCTGAACTTTATTATTCGTGAGGTCACCTTACCTTAAATAATTCAGCTTAAGCAGATCCAGGCCAGTGCAACAAATTTTATAAGGTGATGGTGTACTAGCACGCAGGGGCGGATCCAGAAATAACTAATAGGAGAGATAAAACAAACTATACAAAGCTATAGCCCCCTCTTCTAATGGATGTATGACAGAAAATTTTAGTGGGGGCTTTACGAGGGCTCTCATGGTTTCAACGTCAGTAGTGAAGGCTCGAGATCCCATAGCCCCTATGGTAGATCCGCCACCGCTAGCACGTGATGTTTGTTGTGAAACCGCTAAGGCTTCATATGCGGGTGGGCCCATATGTCATTTTTTTTTTGTGTATATTACTCTTAGAGAGATAGGTTTGTACTGGCTCATACTAAATCTTTATTATGTATAAGTAACCCAAAAGTCCCAGCGAAAGTGAAAATATTTATTGCTGTCAATCAAAACCTATTATAATTTGATACCATCACGATCTAATGGCTTAAATTTTATTTTATTTTAACTAGTATGGTGGCCCGCGCAGATTGCGCGGCTAGTATCGTTATATTTTTTTCTTAAAATAGCATATATAGTTTTACATTTTATTATTAACCAATGTGTGATATTTATATTGTATTGTATATATGTGATAGTTATTTGTAGATTGTATTTATGGGTCTATTGGGTGTAGCTAAACTGCAGCTGCACAACAGCAGCCGCTACAGTGTATGGTAAAGAAAATATATAAATAGGCTGTACAGCACAGCCGGTTACAACAGTAGAGTAGTGTTGCCGAACAGAGCCTATATACTATATATATATGGACTCTAAGTTCCTCTCATAATATTCCTCAGTTTTTTATTTCGAATTTCTATTATTTTTGAACTTTATTCCTGTATGGGCTCTAGACACCTCTTTCAACACTCCTTTTTTAATTTTTAATTTTAGTTATTTTATAAATTGTACTTTATGTGGACTCTAACTCTCTTTCAATATTCCCTATTTAAATTTCAGTTGTTTCTAAATTGCATTTTCATATGAACTATAGACTCTTTTTCTAATATTTATTCATTTTAATTTCGAATTTTAGTTATTTATAATTTCCATTATTTATGAATTTTATTTCTATATGGACTCTAGACATCTCTTCTAACATTTTTTTTAATTTTTAATTTTAGTTATTTGTAAATGTATTTATATATGGAATCTAAACTTTTCTTTCAATATTCTTTTTTTCTAATTCCTAATTCTAGTTAGTTGTAAATTATATTTCTATATCGACTCTAGAATTTTTTTTAATATTCATTCATTTTAATTCCGAATTTCAATTATTTATAAATCGTATTCCTATATAGACTGTAAACTCTTCTCCCACTCTTCCTTTTTTTTCTAATTTCTAGTTTTAGTTATTTCTAAATTGTATTTCTATATGGGCTCTAAACTCTACTTTTGATGTTTCTTATTTTTTTAATTCTGAATTTTCATTAGTTCTAAATTATATGCTTGTAGTATGGACTTTAGTCTCTTCTTTCAATATTGCTTATTTTTAATTCTGAATTACAACTATTTTTAGGTTTTATTTTTATGTGGATTCTATTTTTTTCTTTCTTCTAATTAATATGAAAATATCTAGGCCATGAGAATTTCATCTGATTTTTCTTATTTTTAATTTTTAATTTTTATCATTTGTAAATTGTATTCCTATATGGGCTTCAGACTTTTTTCCCCTAATATTCCTTTTTTTAATTCTAAATTTCGGTTATTTATAAATTTTATTTCTATATGGACTCTAGAATTTTTTTGGACGCGACTCCCGGTCGGGCGTCCGATCGAGAGGGAGTCAAATCGGAATTTATTATGCAACCAAATTAGAATTGATTGGAAATTTCAATATAATTACCACGCCTCGACCGACCGATCTATATTAGCTACTGCATGTTCAGAATTTCACACTTTCAGACTTTCAAACCAAAGTTCATTTAGTGATGTGCTCAATAGTGGGTAATTGGGCTGGGTCTTCATAGGACATTGGTTTCCTAACACGGTCAAGTCACGATTTTGTTGTTGTTTTCCGTTTGTAACAAACTCTTGGAGTTTGGAATATAAATAATGAAAGAGAACCGAGAAAAGTTGCTGAAATATTACGCAGCACCAAAACTCTGTTTTTGCGTTCGATACTCTGTTTTTTTTCGATTTCCGTCAGTTAATTGTAGCAGTCTGAAAAACTTTAGAAACCAACATTCAGAGTTCAGTGAGAGCGAGTGTTTTAGGATTAGGTACAGAAATTTCCAACATATTTGATGATCATGTTGGTTACTGCTCTATGTTTTAGTACGCATGCACCCATCTTGCTAAATGCTAACTAGCGATTTTCTTACTTAAACAATCACGAATATGCTAATATATTCCAAGGTTGCTTCCAGAGAAGAAAGTGGAGATGGTGGCGCAAGGATTTTGAGAAAGGAAAAAGTACGAATTACCCTCCTAAACTATCGTGGTCGACCAAATTACCCCTCTGAATCCGAAAACCAGACATTACTCACCCAGAACTTTCAATACCGGACGAATTACCCCACCTCGGCTCAATCCAGAGCAGTTTTGTCCTACGTGGCGTATACGTGACAATCCAGTCAACATTTTATATACTAAAAAAATGTGGGTCTCACCTGTCATACTCCTCTTCCCCTCTTCCTCCCTCTCCTCTCTATTCTCTCTCTCACGGGGCAGCGCACAGGGGCGGGGAGGTGGGTGGCGGCGTGGGGACGGGCGGTGGGCTGATGGAGGGGCGGCGCTGGCACCTGCGGGCGGTGCTTTCGGCGGTGGAGGGCGCCGCCGGGCAGCGACTGCACGCCGCGGAGGCTGAGCTGGGGCGGAATGCAGAGCACGATGAGACTCCCTCTCTCTCGGGCATGGGCACAGGTCGTGCGGTGGCAAGCAACAGCACGGGAAACGGAGGCGGTCGGTCGGTCGGCGCCGGTGTCACGCCCAGAAATTCTCGAACCAGAATTTCTAAGCTGAATGTGCATTAAATCCCTGTCCAGGACCAGCCAGGGTACACAAACGACAATTGTTGACATACAGATCCACGTCTTACAAAAATGGAAAAGATTACAAATGCAGCGGAAAAGATAAAAGCGAGCTAAACCGGAAAGCTTGACTTCAGCAGCGAGCGACTCCACTCCACAGGCAATCCTTGACGGCAGCGACGAAACCAACTTTGACAAAACAGCTCCAACTAGGAAGATCTTCAGCTCTGGTGTGGGGGAAAAGAGAGCAAGACTGAGTACTACCCACTGTACTCAGCAAGTCATACCGGAAGAGGAGGTATGATGCAGGATATAACCAAAGGAAGCTAGGGGTTCTTTTGCATAAAGCAGGCATTTCAAAGCAGTAGTTGAAAGCAGTAAAACAGCTGTAGTAATTAATCAATATTAACCAATCACTGTCCAACGCTACACCACATTGCAGGCCCAACCAACCACCTGAACTACACCAGTTCATTAAGCTAAACTAGGGGTGAGACTAATCACGGTGAATCTGGTTGATCGCCCATAACCGCGGGCACGGCTATTCGAACAGTTTTACTCTGGCCAGAGGTGTACAACTGTACCCACAAGACACGATTCCACACATGTCGCCATACCCCGAAGTATCACCATGATACTGCAAAAGGGGAAATCGTGACAAGACCCTCCACATAACCTTCCCCTAACCATCCACACCACGCTAAGGTTTCACCCCCACCCCTCATAAGGCAGTGGGCGGTCCCCTCTTGCGCCGCGGTGAATCCGGCAGCTGGACAACCGGACACCCCGGCCGACCCAACTCCATCACGCCCACCCTCGCCACCGGTGCCTAGGAAAGGGTCGAGCTATACTTCAGATCAAGCAGTTACCCACTCCCGCTTGTGGTAAGCACGGTAAGTCTCCCAGGGTTTCCCGTGAACCGGTCCTTAATTGCCATGGGTGCGACCAGCAAAACCATGCACCCACAGCCCACCATTCAGTGTATTTTAATTAACTAATACCATTGCGGTGGCACCAATCTAACGCTATGCCAATAGACAAAGTCTATGTAATAAGGTGATCCCCATTTGTGTGCTAGTTGAACTAAGCATGGCTAAGCATTTCCTAAACCAACATCTAGTCATTTTGATACCCAGGTTATCAATGGCATATGGTAAACAATAAATGGCTGAGTAGTAGGACCCATCCCACATGATATTGTAAAAGAATGCAACATTTAATAGAAATGCGGGATATTTGTAAATTGGGTACAATATGATCAAACGTATTGCATGACTTGCCTTGCTCTCGCACTGACGAGACCTCAGCAACGTCTTCGAGAAACCGCGGATCGACGAAACGGCCGAAATCTACGCGACAAACAAAGCACACAAGCAAAACATGCTATAAGACTACTGAAACAGGAAACAAAAGTATTTTTAATGGATTCTTTGCATTTTTCTTGATTTACTGAGACTTGAATGGACTTAAACGGAGCTCGGATGAATTACTTATGAATTTTAGAAGATAAACTGTGTTTTTACTAATAAAGAAAAGTCCTTAAATCAATTTATTGCGCAATAAAGCCCAGGGCTGACGTCATCCAGGGGGGGGGCGGCGCCGACAGGCGGGCCCCGCTTGTCAGCGGTTCAAGAGAGAGGAAGGGGGCGCCGGCACGTGGGCCCCATTGGCAGCGGCACAAGGGAGGGAGGTGGCGGCGGCATGCTCGGCACGGCTCAAGCCGGCCGGCCAGCCATGGGGCGGCGGCGGCGGCACGCGCGGTCACCGGCGGTGACCGGCGGCGCGGGAGACGGCGGCGGCCGGCGCGAAGGCGGCGGCGGCGGCCGAAGACGACGGCGCACGCGCGGAGGGCGGCGGCGCTCATGGGAGAGAGAGGAAAGGAAGGAGGAGAGGGGATTCCTCACCGGCGAGCACGACGGCCGGCGCGAAGGAAGGAAGCGGCGGCGACGACCGGCGATGCCGAGGTGCGGACGGGCGGCGGCGGCACGCTAGGAGAAAACAGAGAGGGGTTAGGGGTAGGGAGAGCGACCACGGCGGCTAGAGCGGCCGGCCGGAGTTGGGTGGAAATGGAGAGCTCACCGGCGTGCGAGAGAAACGGCGCTTCGGCGACGATTGGCGGCAACCGAATGGTGGCCGAGGTGCAGGCGGGCTCGGTGAGCGTGACGGTGGCGACTACGCGGCGCGGCGGTGACTCTAGCGGCGGCGGCGCGCGGCCGGAGATGGGCGGTGGGCGGCGGAGCTCGGGTGCGCGGCGCGAGGGCGGTAGACGGCACGGGAGAGTGCGGTGAAAAGAGGAAAAAGCGAGAGAAGGACGCGGGGAACGATTTATAGGCGGAGGGGGAGGCGGACGTGGCCGGGAACCCACCCTATTGCGCCGGCGACGTGGGAAGGTGTGGGGAGAGAGAGAGGGGTGGGATTCAAATTCGAATCCCGCCCATTTGCGGGGCGCGCGAGGGCGGGAGAC